CCCTCACTCCCTCCCTCAGTCGCATCTGCTGCAGGCTCTCTCCTTAGCATACACCCGAAACATAAAATAATTTCAGTTCTAAGGTCAGTAACTAGACAAGATTTTTATTATTTGTCCTGACATAAAACATGCATCACTAATGTCTGCCACTTACAATGAGAACTTACAAAATGCGGCAAAGATTATGTGTTCCCCCTTAGCACCCTCTGCCCCCACACCCCCTAAAATGTCGGAAACATTTTGCTGTGTCAACAGCTCAAAAAGAATATTGTTTCACTGGAATGAGATCTGCCCACTCTGTTTTCAGAGATGAAGTTTTGGAATGGTTATGTTACTGCAGAGTGAGTGATGCTAACACAGCCATGGAATTCGCTGGAAAGTCAATCGCATGTTTTCTCAGGAATGAAACCAATAGAAATTCTTACTATTAAAAATTACTTTCCATTCTTGGGGTTTAGACGAAATGAACAGTGCTCAGAGCAGGATTGCTAAGGACTAACTTGTTTGAAAACTTACTGCAGTTCTTACTAAAACAACCTGGCTGAAGATGTGTCAGTGATACAGAATATCCTTAAAGTAATACATTTCTCCTCAGAATATTTAGAAGTTTTGTCTCAGAATTTACCCTGTATCTCTGAATCAAAGTTGATTCATTTTCCAGTTGCAGAGATTTTGTTGTGTTTTGTTTCATTTCAGTTATGGCTTCTTAAGATTTTTGAGATGTAAAACTGGTTTTTTTATTGAATTCTAAAATTGTACTCGCTTAATTTTTCTTTGCCCTTTTTTTTTGTTTAGGGTAATTCATAATGGGAAAATATAGCTTTATAATGAAAAAAAGTTGAGAAGACAGTCAAAAAATCTAGTCACAATGTAGGCTGTTGACAGCTTTTCAAGTGGAGGACATTACAAGTTTGCAACATGGTGTAAAATGTTTGCATTTTGTGTTTTAGTGGTTAGCCTCAAAATCCCAAGGTACTTCTGTAATAAGGGGCCTGACCTACTAGATTCTCATGCTTAGCTACATCGTGTTCTTGAAAAAAGCCTACTGATGGTTAATTCATTTTTCTCTTCGATTCTGTCTTATTTAGGAGAAGGTGGGTTAGTAGACCTGAAAAATCATTCTATCCAGGGAAGTGAAACCCACTTTCAAACACATTTTCTGAAGTGCACAATTCATACCCCACCAAATGCATTAGATAAATTTCCTGTATCGTGGTGATTTCTGGGCCAGTGGGGTTGCTGTGCCCCTTCCCCGCATTCAGGTGTCGCAGATACTGCTTTCCAGGGGACGGGCTGAAAACACGAAGGAGTGCCGTGGATGCGCAGGGACCGTGATGAATCTGAGCGCAAGCTAGGTCTCAACAGCTACCTGCTGCTGGAGCAGGTTCCTGTTTTTCTAGAGCAAAGAACCAAGTATTGCCAAGATTTTCCAATTTATAGGAGGAATCCAGACTTTGGTGCACAATCTCTCATATTTAAATGATGACAACTAAAACAAGTTTTTTTTAAAAGTTAAGAACCTGTGTGAGCCAAACTGAACATGTGCACAGGCCTGAGGACTACCTGCTGGCACTTCCCTTCATGCAACAAAAAACGGAGTTTTAGTGCCGTCCACTCAAGTTACTCTTTCCTGCAGAAGGGGAGTAAACATGAGTGCCTCTCCCTTTTGTTTGCTGACATTTCCTTCTTTCCTTCTTTTCCAGGTTACGTGCTGTCTTTGGTCTGTCCGAACTCCTCCCAGGCTTGGTGTGAGATCACGAATGTGTCACAGCTGCTGGCTTCTCCTGTCCTCCACAGGGACCTGAATCCCAGCCTAACCAACTTGAGCATTTCTGCAAATGTAGAAAACAAATACAGCCTTTATGTGGGCCTGGTCCTGGCAGTAAGTTCCAGTATTTTTATTGGCTCCAGCTTCATATTGAAAAAGAAGGGCCTCCTGCAACTGGCCAACAAGGGCGTTACTAGAGCTGGTAAGAAACGGATGCAACTAATGAATTAACGTTTCTAACTGCAGAAACAATCCTACTGTAAGTCAGAATCTGCTGTCTGTTTATTGTAGCTTCTATCTCCATTCTTAGCAGTTCTTTGCCCAGCAGTTTCCAGGACTGAGCCAGCTGTGTGTCTCCTTTAGGGAAAGTCTAAAATCTTGCTTCAGGAGGTTTAGAGTGTAGTATGGGTTCTTCTTTTCATAGCTTTATTCTGCAGTCTCAGGCATCAAAGTCAGATCATATATGCTCCTGCTTGAAACACATCAGTGGCTTTCTTTGCAGAGCTCAGGATACAATCTAATATCTTCCCACAGACTCTGACCTCCTGCATGAATTGGTCCTGGCCACCTCCCAGCTTCATCTTCTGCTACACTCCCAGGCACGTACTTTTCTCTGGTTCCTGGAACATGCTAAGTTCTTCCCCATCTCCAGGCCCTTCCCCTTGGCCCGGAACTCTTCTCTCCTTGCCCTTCTTTTGACTGACTCATCCTTGAGGTCTCAGCTTAAGTATCATCACCAGAAGGGCTTCCTTCACCATTCTCTCTGGGCAGGTGTACCCCACCAGCATGCTCTGCTATTCTGTGTCACTGCACTAACGCTTTCCTTCATTGTACCTAGAATAACTTGTCATTGGACACTTACTATTTATTGTTATCAGTGGGTTCACTTATTTATTGATAGTAGATTCACAAGAACAGGAGCCTTCCCTAGCATAGTGTTTTCCACCTAGTAAATATTTGTTAAATCAAATGGATAGCAGTACAGTTAGTTTGCTGTTAATACTGACATTTCACAGGCTGAATAGTTCTGCCTGAATCTACTTCATCAACCATGAATTTCATATTCATTCATTCTTGNTAGCAATACAGTTAGTTTGCTGTTAATACTGACATTTCACAGGCTGAATAGTTCTGCCTGAATCTACTTCATCAACCATGAATTTCATATTCATTCATTCTTGTCAAGAATATTATAACAGAGCTAAATATCATTCTAAGGTTCATATGAAAAAATAAATGACTGCAAATTGTGCAAAAAAGTTTATAGAGGTACTATTGAGGGGAGATTTGCACCATCAGAAAATAAAACATGATATAATGCTATCTTAATTTTAAAAGACAAAATAATAAAAGATAATTAAAAACTTATACGGGGAACCAAGTACATACAACAATTTAATGTGTGAGTTTTTAAAGTGCCATTTCAATCCACTGGAGAAAGGATGTATTATTCATTCAAAAGTATTGAAAAAATTGGCAAAAATTAGAGGAGAAAAATATAAAAGTTCTACCCTATACCATTCATCAAAATAAATTCTACATAGTTTAGAGTTAAATTTAAAATAAAAAATTTAAAAAAATAAATAAATAAAAGAAGGTCTTTCTAGGCATAAAGATAAAGGAAGAAACTATTCTATATAAAGAAAGAGATTATCTGGATTGACAAAAAAAAAATCCTATCTGGAAACACTTTTAACTAAACAACTAATATAATATAATAGAAAGTGTTAGAAGATCTTTGGAAATGGCCAAGTACATGAGCTGAAAGACTGGCTGTACTGACGTGGCCTCAATCCTTGCCTTTTCCAACCATATTTCAGTACCTAGAAGTCCGTTCTCCAAACCTTCTTCCTTTACTTTAAAACTTAATTTTAATTTTTATTCTTTTCCTAGGTCAAGGTGGACATTCTTACCTCAAGGAATGGCTGTGGTGGGCAGGATTACTCTCAAGTAAGTCCTTAGAAGTCCTTTGCTTGTAAAAGGATAAGTAAGTTGCGTGGAATTGTTCAAAACTGATTAATTTAGCTTCCTGGTAAGGATGGCATTCAAGTCTAGGAGCTCTTTTTCAGATATAACATATTGTCTTACATATAAAATAAGTCATACGTATTTCGAATTAATCTTTACCCCCCTTCCCCACCACAATGTTCTCAATACTGCCTTGGACTGCAAAGGGAAAAGCCAACATTTGAAATATTATATTTTATCACAAACTTCTCCTTCTCATTCTGTTCTCCATAACAATGGAAGGAAACGCTTCACATCCCCCTTCCCCAGCTCTGATTTCAAATCTGAGACTATTCTAGCTGCATGTTTTCTCCTTAGAAAATTAGTGCATTCTCCCAAACATGGAAATATCCAAGTCCCCTCTGGCTGCTCAGCCCTGAGCAAACAGAGCAGCGATTTTCCCCCGGTGCGCCCCAAGAATGTTTAAAACACCCAGTACCTGACTCTTTAGGCAGGGCGCTGGCCTCTTTTCCCTTAGATTGTCAAAAAATGACAACAGTCAACACAACAGCAGCCATCGGGTGTGAATGGGTCAAAATCATACCTATTTTTTCTGTCAGAGCGGCAAAAAATATAATATTTTGTGTGTGTGTGCCACAGCATTTCAGTAATTAGCTTATGTGTGCCGCAAGGTGGAAAATGTGGAAAGTCGCTGACACAGAGAGAAGATGAAGGTGGTCAGCACTCCCCTTCCTCCTGGGCCTGCTCTGAGCATTAAGTGGGACTCTGTAGGAGGGAAAGCCCTTTCTAAATGCTAGGTGATGTCCAAATAGAAGGCACTTGTCTCCCTCAGGCCCCTCTGCAGAGTTCCACCTGCCTCCTAACTCCTGTGAATTTCTTAAAGCCCAAACCCAGACCTTCCAAAGGTGGGGCCTCATACGTCGCAGTTTCACACCACTTGCCAGTCATCTCCCTCTGCAGCCAGAAGCCGAAAACCTCCATTTATTGCCCGCACCACTCCNGCAGCCAGCAGCTGAAAACCTCCATTTATTACCCACACCACTCCAGTGTTTGTGAGATACTGTTATCAGGAAGAATTGGCATGCTTTTCTTTAACAAACGGTGGAATCTAAAAAGATGATGAATAAAAATAATTCACATTTGTACAGCCCTTTCTTTTCCTGGGAAGTCCTCTATAAAAATAAAAATACAAAATATTCAAGAAAGCTTAATATCCTGAGAAAACTGCCATCGCTCTTATGAGAGCAGTCTCCTAATTGTTTCTCCTTGTCTTACGACGTCTCCCTAAAGCTAAGTAGTCCGGTACCTTTGGCTGGGGGCGTGGGGCTGGGGCATAGCAGCCAGAGGGGAAAAGAAAAAGCGTGCTGGTCTGGTGCCTTATCTGTTCCAGAGCTTTCTCTACAATAAGCTTGTTTGGTGTAGTTTGCCAGCGTGAAATACTACATTCCATGGGCAACTGTTCAGTTGTGACCCATGAGAACAATTTGGCCCCAATACCAGGGCCCAGCTCTTAGAGGAATTTGCTCTCTCTAGAAGCTGTTTGCATCACAGTAGCTCACAGAAGTTTAGAGTTCCTCAGCTGAGAGAGGCATTGCTGGAGCACATGGTTATGACTTCAGCAAGCTGCATGGGTCTCCCTGAGCTACGGAGACAGTGTTGCATGCTTGTAGGTCATCTGCAATTCAGAGATGCCTGCCTACATGGGCCTGTGGCGGACACGTCTGGCTGTCCCCTGTCTACGCAGTAGGTCTCTACAAGGCATTCCAGTTTTACAAGCTGTTTTATTATTAATTTGCATAATGCAGTGGTACCTCGGTTTTCCAACGTCTCCGCTGGCAAACATTTCAGTTTATAAATACCGTAAACCCGGGAGGAAATGCTTCGGTTTTCGAACACGCCTGGAAAGTCGAACACGCCACACGGCTTCCGCTGAGTGCAGGATCCTGAGGCCTAGCTGTCGGCTGTTGATCCCTCAGTTTTCGAACATTTCAGAGCTTGAATGGGCTCCCGGAGATCACTTTTGAAAACCAAGGCACCACTGTAATAGGTATTCTCAAGCAAACAGACAAATTCTGTGCTTACTTCAAAGCTACTTCTACTAGATTTCATCAGAGTGACCATATATGTTTCTGGTACTGAAATAGCTAAACTCTTTATTGAAAGTCATTTAAAATGTGTATCCATCACCACTTTTTGTGTTAGTTGAGCTTGTGTCACCAAGTAATTATGGTTTATCTGCATCCCTGATTATGGTTAATCTGCATCTCTCCCTCCCTCCCTAAAAAAAGTTAATTATTCCTTTTTTGCTTAAATTATCAGTGTCTTTGGAATCACAGTCTGCTGCTTTGCATCTGTCATTTGTGTTTTCTGACTAACGAGTCCATCTTTTATATTAATACCACTGCTTGCTTTCCAGTGGGAGCAGGAGAGGCTGTGAACTTTGCAGCGTATGCTTTTGCACCTGCCACGTTGGTCACACCCCTGGGAGCGCTCAGTGTTCTCATCAGGTACGTGAGCAATAAAGAGCTTGAATTCTGTAGGGATTTTAAAACCATGATGAACTTAACTCTACAGGAAATATATTGCTAAGCATATCTCAAAACAAAATTTAAAAATCACAGAAATAATTTGAGATGACTATACAATAAATTTTAGGAGAAGTAGGAAATAGGTTGCCTTATTGTTATTTAGAAAACCTGTAAGAGAGTGAACCTGGTTTCCTGCTAACCTAAAGTAACTGTGTGTTATATTTGTGACGATTCAACGAAGCCTAGCAGATTTTTTTTCTCTGTCACCTGAACAAATTGCCACAGCCCTTTCAATATTCCCTGTTGTCATAGTGGTTAATGGCCATTGCTGTTAGAGGGGTTTTAAAAAGGATGGTGTCTGGGTTAAATTTCAACTCTTGCTGAAAGTCTTGCATCGTCTGCTGGGCACTTCTGTTTGGAGGTCTCTTCGTTTCTTTTCGTACTGGGAACAGGAATAATTTCCAATTCATAGAATGTGGATCTTATATTTCTGAGTTGGTCTTTATTATGATCCCAAATAAATGTGGCCAATGAGCCCATGAACTCTTATTTTGTAGCTAAGCAACGGTTTTGTCTGTCTTTTCCTTTTATCTCCATTCACTATCCACTTCTGATAGAAAGATGTTGACTGGGCCTACCCACTTCTTTTCACCTTCTTTGTAGTATTGTTTTGAGAATTCAGTGAGCCAAACACTTGAAACACTAAAACACTGTCTGCACAATGAATGGCATCTATTAGTAGCAGCGGTGTTTTGGCTGAGGCTGCAGTCCTCACAAGTGGCCACACGATGCGACTCTTGGAAAGCACCTGGTAACTGACCAGTCTTGGGTGCAAATGGGTACTGGTGCTATCCTGTGGGAATGCCGGGGCATCAAGAGAAGGAGGCTAGTGTGTAGGAGCCACAGCACGCCTGCTGGTGAAGCAGCAGGATGCACCGTCTGGTGTCCATGGTGGTGCCAACCTGGAGCTACCTGAGGCTATGGCAACCAAAGTGCTGGGAGCATTGGATAGGTGAAAGTATCGGGGCAGTAGCAGCTGGTAAGAAAATATTTCAATACTTTGACAACCCATATGGTTGTACTTATGTATACTAGCTAAATATCAGCCCTGAGCAGAGTAATTCTCCTTTCAGCATATATCTTTCCTTGAAGTTTTCATGAGCATGCGTATTCTAAATGTGTCATGCCAGTAAGATGTAAAAGATGGGAAAATTGAAAATGGATTGAGTGGACCCTCTTTAAAAGGTCATGGGAAGTTGAGAGGGGTATAGAATGTCTATCTTAACCCTTTAGATATAAAGCAGTTAAGCAGATTTGATGGACCATCATTCCTGAGTTTTAAAATTAGTCAGGGTTTTCAATATCACGTAGCACGTTCAGATCAGTTGACTGGGATACAGAGTGGCAGGTGCCACAGTGTGACTTCTGAGCTACTATGGAATCAAACGGGAATTGAACAAGAGTGATTTATTTTTCTTCTCCCAACAGCGCAATATTGTCTTCCTATTTTTTAAATGAGCACTTGAACATTCATGGGAAAATAGGCTGCATATTAAGTATATTGGGGTCAACTGTGATGGTTATCCATGCTCCACAAGAAGAGGAAGTCGCTTCTTTGCATGACATGGAAATGAAATTGCGAGACCCAGGTCTGTGATTCTACCAAAAGCAACACTTACTCCACTTTCCACAAATTCTGCTCCACTTTCTCTCTTCATCAAATGAATTTGTAATAGTATCGTAATAGGCTTCCTACAAGCCAAGTCATGGGTTGTGAGACAGTTAGGATTCACTGAGTATTACGAGTCTTCTGAAAAGGTGACACAACTTACTTTTGAGTCCACGCTTCCCCCTACCCAGTGAAAGGAAGACATGAGGAGAGGAGAGGCGAAAGACTTATGTTCTAACCCAAATTTGGCCACTCTCTGAAAATAAAAAAGTCACTCAGACAGTATCTGCCATGCCTCATAGTAGTCTCTGTGAGATTCAAATGACACGTTTGGGAAGGTCCCATTGTAAAATATCGAGAGCTATGCAGTCAAGTGTTGTTGTTTTCATTTCATCTCACTTCCCTTTCTGAAACACCTGTGCTCCTAAACTCATAACTAATAAGACTTCACCAAGACATGAGCCTCTGAGCATTTTCTGAAGTCTAATTCTTTTCTCTTCCTAACAGGATTCATTACCTTTGCCGTGATCATTACCACGATTGCCTTGGTGCTGATTTTAATTGTGGCTCCCAAGAAAGGGCAGACCAACATATTGGTCTACATCGCTATCTGTTCGTTGATTGGAGCGTTTTCAGTTTCTTCTGTGAAGGGCCTGGGAATTGCCATTAAGGAACTCTTGGAATGGAAGCCAGTTTACAAGAACCCCCTGGTCTTTGTTTTGCTGGCTGTACTTGTCCTTTCAGTGACGACACAGATTAACTATCTCAATAAGGCACTGGACACCTTTAATACATCTCTTGTCACTCCCATTTACTATGTGTTCTTCACGTCCATGGTCGTGACTTGCTCTGCCATCTTATTCCAAGAATGGTACGGCATGAAAGCTGGAGATGTCATCGGGACCCTGAGTGGGTTCTTCACCATTGTCAGTGGCATCTTCCTTCTACATGCTTTCAAAAACACTGACATTACCTGGAGTGACCTGACGTCCACGACTCAGAAAGGAGTCGCCTCTCTGAATGGCAGTGATGACAAGTATGTCTTACTAGACAATATAGAATGTTCGACCTTGGGATACGAGGATGACATCACCCTGTTTAGCAGGACTCGTGAGTGATCAAAGCCTCTACAAACCCTGAACTTGAACCAATAAGAGACACTTGGTGAGGAGAAGGGATACCTGATTCTTGGAAGAACTGTTAGGAAAGCCGACATTTTAAAAGTTCTAACTAATAATGTAGATGTGAGGCCAAATAAAAAATGCCTTCATTTTTGGCCATCACATTTGAAAATCAAGATTTTTATCATCCTCCAAGAAGACTTCTGCTGTTTCTGATTTCTGCAAACTTGAAATAGTCCCAAGTATAAAAGAAGTCAGAGTAATCTCTTCCTTCTGGCCACACGATATTTGACCCTGCCAGGTGGCTCTTCATTTCATCGGCTGCTCTTCTCAGTCTCATAGTAATTCACAGATAAACTTAACTGTGTGCTGTAAGCAGAGTATCAATCATTCTCTGATGAGTCATAGTTTCAAATTATTGAAATTGAGAAGTGAGGTCACTGATGCTTTTCCTCCCCTCCACAACTTCATTTATCTAAACAGATAGCTGAAGGGTAGAGTGTTAAAGAGAAAAATAGGTCTGCTCTGGAAATCTCTTTGTGTGTTAGAATGCCAAGACATTGGTCTCTGAAGAGTTTATGAATTGTAATTGTAATTGATTGACATATCATAGAAGTTTATTACCAATTAAAAAGGGGAGAGTGGCCCTAACCTGTTTGTCTCAGTGGTTAGAGCATCAGCTCATGGACTGGAGGGTCTCGGGTTCGATTCCTGACAAGGGCATGCACCTTGGTTGCAGGCTCAATCCCCAGCCCTGGTCAGGGTGCATGCTGGAGGCTACCAATTGATGTGTCCCTCTCACATCAATGTTTCTCTCTCTCTCTCTCTCTCTCTCCCCCTCTCCCACTCTCTGAAAAGCAATGGAAAAAAATTCTCAGGCGAGGATTTAAAAAAAAAAATGGGGAGGGGAGAATGGAGGAGGGAAATATTTTATACCTTAAGTAAATGAAGCAATTTTTTTTCTCTTTACTGAAACAAACACAAATTATTGTATTCATAAGTTCTTTTAACTCAAACCTGAACAACATAAGACAAAATTGAGTTTCTGGAGAAGTCCAGGTGAATTCAGTTTTGGAATTCCTTGCATTCATTTTGTTCCTTTATTTACTATTATTCCAAAAGTTATTTTTCTTACTGACGTGGAGACTTTTGTAAAGTAATTGCTACATTATTTTAGGATTATATTGTAAATCTCTGTTTTTCTCAAGTGTTTAACTCCCAAAGGATGAGTTTTCCACAGACTGTTTGGAAACAACTAGAAAAACCTTTCTGAAAAACCTAAATGAGTTATCATAATCATTCTCTTGAAATTTGGCACTTTCAGGTCTATTAAGGAAATTATAATTAGCTCAAACCTTTCAGAAAATATATATATCCTACCACAATAAGTGGTAGATTGTCTTTTTCTGTTGAATTTCACCCTGACCACATTTTCTGTACATTTAATTGATAAGTGTTTTAGAATAATAAGAAAGGAGTTAACTTCCTAGAAAACAAGCTATTAAGACCTCAGGGACTACATTTTGTGTATTAAAATTTACATAAAATGGTCCTGTGTCCAAGTGCATGGAGGGAATAACACTTTTGGTGGTCTTTACTGTTTATGGACAGATTTCTGATCCCTCATTGACTTAAAGGAAAAGGAGAAGTTAGCTGTCTTCTAAACTTATTTCCCTCAAAACAAAACAGAACAAAACTCCTAACCAAAAAAAGCTTGACATTCAAAAAACAAAAACCCTCTGGTTAACTGGATTTTTCTGTTCTGTCATCAAATTCTGCAGTTTTGTTTGTTTGTAATCTAGCTCAGCTCTACCCTAGGTAATAATAGTAAATTCTGTTATTCAGAATTCTATTAAACTGCCGTTAGCATTCCCCCAGTCCTGCTGAACTAGGACTGATGTCACGGTGATGACCTGAGATGATTGCCAAGCCCCGAAGTGCTGTTATTGTCTCTTCCGCACAGTTCAGTGTTGAGTGCGAGTCGGTGTATTTTAAATTTTTTTAAATTGATAATCCATGGAAGGTACATGGGTTGCTACCTCAGGTCAAATATGTGTTTACTCTGTTGACTGCTGTTTCACTTTAATTGTATATCAGATATATAAGCTATGAACACAAACTTGTAGGAAAAGGTAGTGTTTGAAAAATGTAGAAATTCTTTTAAAGGTTTTCCTTTTTCTATTGAAAACTTTATTGGTTTCTCCAGGACACTTTCTTGGTGAGGAAATTAATGGAATCCAACCTGAAGCTGTAAATTTTAGAGTCAGATATTTCTTAAATGTCACCTGTTAGAAAACTTTGCCCTTGGTGTATGGTGTTCAGGTTGAAGGCTCTTGGAACACAGGAACCATGTGTACCCTGGGTTGGAAAATAGACTGGTGTTGACACATATGCCCAGGAGAAGGACAGAAAAATTTAACAAGTTGAAATATGTTGAGAAGCAGTAAAATATTTTAAATACTCTTAAAAATTCCTGGTGGGTGTATGCATTGAAAAACCAAAATGTTATTGCAAACCTCAAACTCAGAATAATTTTTTCCAAATGAGAATATATTGTTGCCCTAGCTGGTTTGGCTCAGTGGTTAAAGCACCTGCTTGCAGACTGAAAGGTCCTGGGTTCGATTCCAGCCAAGGGCACGTACCTCCGTTGCAGGTTTGATCCCCAGAGGCAACCAATCCATGTGTCTCTCTCACATCCATGCTTCTTTCTCCCTCTCTCTATATATCTTCCTTCCACTCTCTCTCAGAAGCAATGGAAAAAATATCCTTGGGTGAGGATTTAAATAATTAATTAATTAAAAAGAATATATTGTCCAAGGAGGAATAAAATGCTGGATCCCTATTTTCAGACTAACCATGTTAGTCGTAACTGGTACTTTCACAGATGTATATATTTTAATATATGTACTTTCTTTATCTTACACAGATGATATCTGAAGGCTTATTATGTGGATATCTGCACATGTATCACTAAGGATTACAAAGTTGTCCTCATACAGCCAAACCAAAAGCTTTTCCTAACTCCAGAAACATAATAGTTTTGTTTCATTTTTTTTGACTTGTAATTTTCTTCTTAGGTCAATGGTTAATGATTTCATTTTTAGTTCACATTGCAGAATGTTCATATAACCCTTCAGCTTTAGCAGCACAAAATTAACACCTTTATTTTAAAAGTACTAAATCAAATACATGGAAAGCACGCTACATCATGCCTGATAGATGAGGCATTTGGTAAAATTTAGTTCTCTCTGAACCTCTTAATTCTTGTAGTCTTATAACTAGATTGGCAAGAACCATTCATTGCCAGTTTTCATACGTTCTTCATCTTTTCTCAGTGTGTGTCACAGTAGCTCATTTTAAGTAATCCAAGTGAAAACAAATTCCATCATTATACTATCTCAACACAAACCAATATAAAGTGATTCCAACAGAAATGTCTTCTTTTTCTTAATAAAATGAATAAAACTGAACTAACTGCAATCTTCACATTCCAACCAAACTGTGGAAAAGTAATTTATATGAATATATGTGAAATGTTCTCAAATGTTTTGAGTAAACTCTGTGGTTATGAAGTTTTCTATTTTTCAAATGTTTATAAAAACTATTCATTTTTAAAAGTTTACAAAATTTAAATTAATGTTTCTGTATATTTTTCATTTTCAATAAAATAATGTGGTTTATTTATGCTTGTTGGGGTTCAGTTTTTAGCTTATTGAAGTTAAGTTTATGTCATGGCAAAAATATCCCCACTTAGTTTTGAGATATAAAAGAGTTTCAAGGTTTTTAAAAAAATCTGTATTTAGGTTACTTTTGCTTTGTTATTTTCCTTGAAATTAAAATCTGTTGTTTAGAAGTGGGCTGTCCACAGACCATCTCCCTTAGGACTGACTGGACACTGGAGCAAAAGGTAGGAGAAACTATCTCATGATTTCCCTGAACAAGACAGGAGCTCAGAGCAGTCGGTGCAATGACATCTCCCCTCATCCAGAGACTTAAAGGGAGGAGAGAGCTGCGTGAAGGTATTCGGTCGCGTTGCATCACACCCGGGCCCACGCCACAAGCCCACGCACTGCCTTCGGCCCCTGCGACTGCAGCTTCACTTCCCGTAGCGACGTCCCCGCGACTGGGTGGCTTCTCCCTGATCTGATTTGGGCCCGTGCTTGACAACGACTCCCTCAGTTGTCTCTATGGAATGAATTGTGCAGGGTACAGAAGGCCTGTGTCCCGCCACCCCCTTTCCTGTCCTTTCGTAAACGGAGAAAGGAAGATAACATGCGATTCCCTAGATCACATACCCAGGGACACAGGCCTGCCTGGGGAGGGCGTGGAAAGCGCACGGCTACCCCGCGGTTAGAGCCAACTGTGGTTGTCGCCAGCGCGCTGGGTGTGTGTACCCCACACATTTCGGCACCCTGCTGCAGTGCACGGGAAGCCTCTAAGAGGTGAGCTTAGGTTACAAAGAGCTAAATTTCACAACAATGACAACATATTTTTCCCAACCAAAAGCTTTGATTCGTTGCAGAAACAAAAACAAAAAAGCTTATTGATAGAACTACCTGAGCCACCCTTTTCCCACTTCAGTTACAAATGATGAAATCCTTTCTTCTTGAGGGAAAACTGAATCTCTATAAAGGCCATTAGCATAGGAGAAAACCTTTGAATTAGAAGGCATTTTAGTTCTTATATGTAGAATTTCCCTGTGGCTGGGGGACCAAGGGAGTAGGAGCCTCTGCAGGCCAAGATGTACTTCACCAGCTCAGGCCTTGTCCAGCCCTCAGGAGATGAGGCCTTCCACCAGTTTTCTGCACTGGTGTACTCCTGAGACCACATGGACTTCCCTCCCACCCAACCCCGTGTAGCCCCAGCCACTGCTTAACTTGGGGGGCACGGGGAGCAGATGGACAGCATTGGTAGTGGAGATAAAGAAGCCATGCTCTGGGTAGCATGTTCCCACAATCCCCTCCCTCTTCCTGCCTTCTATGATTCAGCCAGTAATTCCTGACCGCCATAAACAGCATGCAACTCAACCTGGCCCCAAAGCTTGTAGGCTGCTTTGTGAATGCCTTCTATAGGGATTCACCGACCAGAGAAACCAAATACAGGCCCTGGTTGTTTAGTTTCCACTGAGAAAACCTCCAGTTCTCCCCTAGAATAAATCCTGGGGAATGATACATGGCTCCTCCTGGAGTTCACTGTGCCCAACAAATACCAGAAAATAAACTCAAGGATATCCCTCAGCCTAAACCCCATTAAACAGACTGTTCCATAGACCAGGAGTAAGCAAAATAGCCAGCTCTCTGGCTCAGGTCTCCCTGCCTCTCAATCAGATTTTGCCTTTATTTTCACTGTTAACATTTCAGCATNCTCACCGACCACAGAAACCAAATACAGGCCCTGATTGTTTAGTTTCCACTGAGAAAACCTCCAGTTCTCCCCTAGAATAAATCCTGGGCAATGATACGTGGCTCCTCCTGGAGTTCACTGTGCCCAACAAATACCAGAAAATAAACTCAAGGATATCCCTCAGCCTAAACCCCATTAAACAGACTGTNGCAGCCTAAGCCCCATTAAACAGGCTGTTCCATAGACCAGGAGTGAGCAAAATAGCCAGCTCTCTGGCTCAGGTCTCCCTGCCTCTCAATCAGATTTTGCCTTTATTTTCACTGTTAACATTTCAGCATATTACTGGAAGAGTTTTAAATAAAACGTATTTGGATAAAA